AATATTTGCCTTACCTAGCTGAGAATCATTCGATTTGACTATAAATTTGCCTCTGTATTTGCTCGCACACACATATTCGCCTCTCTGCTTCAAATTCGCTTAATGAGCTTATAGCTTTGTCATCCGTGTGTTCTCTGATAAACTGTAGTTTCGGCTTCTTATAGCCTTCTGGTCTCAAACACCGTTGAGGTCTATATAATGACGGTTACAAAGGTGATTGATTAACGAAGCTAAGTCACTACAGAAATGGTGACCTCAGCGTGCAAATACGAAATAATTGTCGCGGATATAATTTAATTTTCAAAAATTCATCGCACTTGGTCTTGACTCCGATTATTATCTGGATTATATTCGTAGTTGTGGATTTGTTATATCATTGTTTTAGTTACAGGCACATTATCTCCCAATTATTATTGAACGTAACGATAATACTCATAATAAATAACGATATTTCACAAACAAATGATATAATGGTTCAGATTAATAGATCCATTCTATGTTATAAATTGTACCATTTGTTATTATCACTGTTTCTATCGATCCGTTTCTTTTTGTGACATTTACATTATTTTATTCGCGTACTGTTTATTATTTATAAACATGTCTGTCGAGAATACTTTGTCAACTTCACCGCAAACGCCATCAGTGAAGGCTATTGATTTTCCTATTACCTCATTTAAAACCAGTGACACACAGCTAAAGTTTATTATACTCGAAAATTATTTTCTGTCTAACCACATTAACTTACAAAAAGATAAATTCATCAACGCAAGCACACTCCTTCCAGATGGAGTAGCGGGTAGCGCACGAGAGGCGTCAGCTAAGACGAACCCTGAATAGACATACGACGTACTAAAGTAAACTGTAGTTTAAACGGTTTTTCTATGTATATCCAATCATTTTTGGTCAATTTTAATGCGATCAATCCAATACTATTTTCACATCTTGGCAGTTCACTTGCTTAACTGTTTGTTGTAAATTGGTTTAAAGAGTGAAGACAAACATGACCCGAAAATAACATCTTACTTGGTAGCGGAACCTCAAACAGTTGACTTGAACAAAACAGTCGAAAGTGGAAATTGTGAGCACCCAAACAAACGGACTGAAAAAATTTCAATAGTAACGATGTAGAACCTGAAAATTATTATGGATTTCATTCTATTTTACAGACGTTATCGATTTGATGTGTTAAATCTATGACATGGATATTCTGTATTATTAGAACGGGTTTTGTTTTTGTATGGCTTTCCAAACAAATCGGTCTCATTCAGTGAAATGTGTGTTTTGCTACATGCCGTAATCATACACAGTGAATTCTCAAACGATTCAGTAGATAATAGTTTACACATAAAATCATGGTTTTTATGCCACTGTATAGCAGTTAGAATCTCATAATTATGAAGCAGATTTACCAAAGTATTAGTCTGCTAAAACCTAGAAACATGCTCATTTAAGTGCGGGAATTATACTTCACACAGCTCAGAAGTGAAATGAGGGATCTAGCCATGAAATATCAGACGACTCATAGGCTTTTGACTAGATGACAAATGACAATTAAGCGTGGGGTTGGAAGTTCACAATTATAAACTGAACTGTGCAGTGCATTGCATTCAAAAACCTTGAAACTTACATGAATAAACCTCAATTATGGAAACTAAAGTACCAATATGAGGCAAACAAAACAAACAAAAAATATAGCTAGCTCATTTCATGGGAAGATAGCGGTAGACTTAAAGCAGATTTAACAATGGGCTTTGCAATACTACCATTTCACCATCAATACGCTGCACGGGAGTTTTTTTAGGTTTGCTGAGTAACATTGAATCCTACTCCAGTTTGTTTGTTTTGCTGAATGAATTCCAACACCTGAATACAAGTCACTGGATGTCCTATTTTCGATGAAACCCTCAGATTTAAGCATAGTTGACATAGAATAACCAATCAACATCATGCAGAAGATGTATGAGACAGCTTGATTACTTCTTGAATACACTAACGGTATAAACTCTTCGCTTCTAAATGTTCATCCTTCCGATAAGATTACACCTGTCCTCTGGGTGTACATAGAAGCCAGAGTTTCCTGGTCACCTGATTTAGGCGGATGAAGTTATGGAGCCATTAATTGATATAGCTTCGACTCACAACTGCGTGAATTTACTTATCACATTGTTCCAACTGACCCTAATGAATTACGTCTATCAAACAAGCAACGTGAGCACATCTAATTGATAATGGTCTAGCATCAACAAACATCACATTGAGATACAAAGAGAATAAACTTTAAAATATGTAGTAGTATAATCGCCAGGCAAAATAACATCAGACAAACTAATAATATTAAAACAATATACAAAAAGGACCATAATAGATTTCTATGATTGGAGAATAGGTCAGGATGTTTATCGAGCTCACTCTTGTGCGAGATACTTCTCTTGCTATGTTTACCCGGCAAAGTTTTCATTTTAAATCTAGAATACTCAAACTTTAGTATAGGCTCATGGAAATTTTTAAGCGACTATCAAAAGAAACCATTTCTAACGGAAAAATGATTGAATATTGTGGCTTTCAATGTCCCTACAGTTGCAGATCAATATGCTGTGTAGACTGAGATTTCAGTAGTGATGTACATATGGATTAAAATGGCAATCCAGTGACAATAGTGATGTTAGATTAACGTAAAGATATGTAGTAATATTTAAGAATATACATAATGCATGAACAATTTAGTGAAACAATCCATGAATACCAACAAACTTAACACAGTCAAACACAAGATACCAACTATATAAAATGTTGGGCACAATTCTCAAGTGGTGGATCAAAAGTAAACAATTAAAAACTATGAAATAAACTATGGATGAAATTTTATTCATTACAAAATATAATTGCCTGGCAACAGTGATAGAGGTTCCAGCTAAACGGCAAGTATTTTGTTTCATCATCTAGGGATACACTAATCTGATCAATACAAATAGAGACAATCGATCACATGTTGAATGAATATTGGAGCAAGCAGAATATAATTTTGGAAGTTACAGAAGTAATGACTGGTAAAAAAATAATGTCGAAAAATTGATTAGAAACCAAAAACTGAACAAAATAAAAATTTTGTCAAGCTTACTAAATCAAGAGATAAATATGATGCACATAGATGCAGAGTCAGGAACGCACTACGGAATGTACGGTAAAACACACAAGAGGTGTTGTGCAGGTCACTCAAATCTCTTAGAAGCATCATGGAAGCACCTCAAAATTTTTCCACCATAGCTCTCTTCGCACACTGGTTAGGGCATATCAAGTTCGTAGGACTTGCAACACGATACTTACACACTCCCACACACTGAGATACTGTGAGCTATTTAGATCCTTTCAACAGACAAATATTGCATATATCTCTAGCGTGGTGTTGATATCGCGCTTGATTATGAACACCGCTACAAGAAGATTACGTGCCAATTAACCAATAAGATCCCCGTAGGCCAATGTCAGAAGACAGATGATGGCTGTAGTCGATATGTATTTGTTGGCGATCTCGTGGTATCGAAAGAATACCGAGATCGTACCAAGGGAGTACAAGTGGGATCGGCAGGAGAAAGTACGTGCGTAGAGTCACAAACCGCGCAGAAGTAATGGAGTCCAAAGGAAGGCCAAAATGACTGTCATTAGAATAGTTAAACAAACGAGCACAGCAAAACAATCACTGGTACAATTGGTTATAATAATAATTGTTTTCATTGAACCAATCGCGTTCTGTTGACAAAAGTAAGTCACTACACATCTTTTAGAATAACACCATCATCCGTACTCATCATTTCTATTACAACCAATCATTCCATAGCGTTTTCTATTATTCTCTACTCATCCTATGAGCCATAGACTGAGGGGTGGAGTATCCGAAATCAATATTAGTATTAATACTAAGCTCCCAATCCTAGTCAAATCTTCCGAAAAGTTTTGTGTTTTCACAGCCATATTTTCCAGAATGTGTCGGCAAGATAGTTGATCTGCCTTCATAGTTTGCTATGGTTGTGACTGAGACTGCTTTCTACTGTAGTTAAACAATTTTCTCTTGGCAATAAAAGACAGTTTAGTGAAGGTCATGTCTATCACTGATATCTTGTGTTACGGGTAATGTGAAGCGATTATTTAGTACTCTCCCCATAATCATGTAGTGACCTACTTTTGTCAACAGAACGCGATTGGTTCAATGAAAACAATTACTATTATAACCAATTGTACCAGTGATTGTTTTATTGTGCTCGTTTGTTTTACTGTGCTAATAACAGCCATTTTGGTCTTCCATTTGTACTCCATTGCTTCTACGCGGTTTTCGACTACGCACGCATCTTTTCTTGCTGATCGCATCTGTACTCCTTTGGCACGATCTCGGTATTCTTTCGATACCACGAGATTGCCAACAAATATATTGCAACTACTACTATCATCTGCCTTCTGATTTTCGGCCTAGCGGAATCTTATTGGTCTATTGGCACGTAGTCTGGTAGCGGTGTTCATAGTCAAGCTCAACTCGACACCACGCTACAATCACAAAATAAGTAAATAAGGCTATTTCATGTACATGAGCAAGAGACAAAATGGGCGGTGCAAAATTCGGTCAACGGCTGACATATTAACCAAGTCTTTCCTTCCTGTGCTTCTCCCAAACTGTATTATAGGGGATAAAAGCGCCAATAAGACTGTTTACAGCCTGATCTATCGTTTATTTTTCAGATTTTCTCGGCTCCAGTGCATCAAGTTATGTCAGACTTCGTTTTCTTTTGAGGGAAGGGATATTTTGCGACAAGTGTACGGCTAACTCGGAGGCCCATCATCTCAGATTGAAGGTATATGAGGAACACTTGATTACATGGGGCCTTCGTCCTTAAAAATTTAAAAATATAAACAACTTTACGACATCTTTTAAAATAAAAACACAGTGATAGACTACGTGAAGTTCATTTTTGACATATACTTTTAAAGGAACATCATAAATCCTAAGCATGCTGGATTGTAGAAATGTACTCGATCTTAACATTAGCAAACTTAGTATGCTAATGTTTAAAAGCAGTGATACTGCACCCACCCTCTATTTTCTGTGTGATACTAGCGTTAAACTCTCCACCACAGGTTAGGGCAGCTTTAATTTTTGTGGTAGCCTAGGTGTCTCTTCCTATCGACATTCTAAGCCAACAAAGTACACCCTGTCCCAAGGTTTCTTTCCAGAATATTAGATAGCTTGACTCTTCAATATATACTTGACACCTCATCCCGGGAAAAACCCTGTATTATGTTCCCTTATCTTGATGAGGATAATAGTCCCTCGCAACTTGTTCAGAAAAGAGGAGATAAAAAAGTTTTAGGGCTTAAACAAAAACTCTACTCAGCTTAGTTGAAAGCATAAAAGGGAGGCTTTTTCGGCTCAGAAGGATTGATGTGTCGTATCCTTCATAATCCTCATCTGAATAAATCACTAATTTATTCTAGTACTAATTTACACCTAAGAAGGATAGGACACGGACGATCTCGTACGAAACTTTCTGCAAACTTTTTCACGGTTAGAATCAATAAACCGTGAAACTCTTTACTCAAGGATACAGTGGCTGCACCATTCATGGAGTCTTTCGGAGGAAGACTTGATGTTTACTTCAGTCCGTGGGTACAGATCATGATTACTCTATGTATTACTCCATAATGCCTTCCACTATTGACGATCACCTTGTTTTACGTTTCAGTTTCAGAAAATACATAACGGAGACCATACATTCTCATTATCAGAGTGCTCTCCAATCACCCTAAATTCAGATCATCAGCAATAATTTGTTCGTTGATACTACCCAGAAGAGTTTGAAGTAGTCTGTTGAGCTTCCCTAAAGACGTCTGAGCATAGCAGTTGCAAGTTCCGGCATTGATTTACTACTCTCTATTTTAACTTCGTTTTCACCTGAAGTTATTATTTACTGATTGCTTTTTCCATGTTGTTGACTATCATCCGATGGTGAATACTAACTTATTATTTGAATAAAAGAGGATCTTCGTAAAACCTATCACCACTGTAGATAGTCATAACTCGCTTTATAACGGATTTTCATATTTCGTTCGTTATCACGTTGCATCCCAATTTTACGTGGGTGTTTTATTCGGTCAGTTGTTGGGCGCTCAGAGAATTGTTTAAACAAGGTCACTGTAAAAGTTCCGTTGCACGCGGCGTGAGTTATCCCATATTTCTGGTAGGCTTAGCTTTTTATCCTGACTTCAAGTTAGGATTGTATTATGAATGATGATAAGCGGATAGTTCCTTGGGTTGATGCTTGTGAATTTAGAGACGTTGCCAGGAATGTATCTTCATGCGAAACGTCTAAACTTCGTTTAGCTTGGGAGACCATAAAAATATGGTTGTGTCGTATGCCTGTATCCAAAATACCACGGTCTATAATTTGCACTTATGAACTTCTAAATGCTTACTTTGAAAATTCAAGCCAAAGTATGGCACTGGCCCTCATGAGGTTTGTCTCGTTGCTATCTAGTGAATCCCAAGACCGTGAGAGACCGAATTTTGCACTGCCCATTTTGTCTCTTGCTCGTGTAGCAGGCCTACCTTGCTGGCTGGCTGATCTTCGCAATGACATAGCACATGGAATAATACCGTCAATGGACACACTAGAAAGTGCTTTTTGGTGGTCACTAAAATACCTGAGTGAATTTTGGGCATCAAATGTAAAACATAACGAAGAACAGTTAGTTGAATTAGACGGGTTGTTGAACTGTCAAAGTTTGGCTTTAACTAAATACGTCGAAAATTTACTGCAAGGAGAAAATACATCTCAATTCGACATTAAAGAAGTGTTTAGAAACCGTCCGACATATGCCTGCTTTCCGTTGGTAATAAATACTATATGTAGTTGTGGATGCGCTCTGTTCACTGGCGAAAGTCCTCTATGCAACATTGTTCAAAACCAGGCTATCAAACTAAAGCCTCTCTTTAGCACGATGCTATATCATAAGCTTGTTGGAGAGTTTATTTTACAGTTCATTTTAGGACTGAAAGATAATCGTTCTGTAGACGACGACATTCGACTAGAATGGTGCATTGCCTGGGTTAAGGCAATCAAATGTCGTGGGTCTGGGGAATCGGTCTTTTGTGACTACGTAGATGGCTTGTCATTAGACTGGAGAAAAGCACTTAATCATATTTTAAACCACATGTGTAATAAGTATCGTGATTTATTCGCGGAATTATTGATTATTCGGGATCCAACGATACCCCAAGACAAGTTGAAAGCGATCATGAGCCATATTGATGTGTTCTGCGGTCGCGACGTACCGAAAACTCAGGAGCTTCGGACACCAGTACGCCGTGACAGTCGCTGGGAACTTGCTGACTCTTTGTTATGGACAGAAAAGCCACTTGGAGCAAAAATTGTTTCATGTAAAAACACTTTTTTGACTCTAATTTTAGCTTACCATGCCTCGACAAGTAGACAACATAAAGGAGTTCCTCCATATGACACAAAGAGCAGACGCCAAGTGTGAGTTATTCCGAAACTATAGTGATTTTTTTTAGCTGTTAAGATTAAAGAAAACAAAGACAACGTCAAGTTTAAAATCAGATGCAGTCGATTCCTATATACGCTTGTAGTCGTGGAGAAAGAAAAAGTTGGAAAAATCAAGCGTTCACTCCCACCAAGTATTCACACACAATTATCAACTAATTCTTGCTCTTTATAGATCTTACTGTGAAGGAACTTTAATGTGTTACCTATAATAAAGGCTTCTATATAATGTATCTTTTTTGATAATATCCGGGTGTCAGGAAAAATCCAAATACATTTTACAAAGCGGACGCGGTGCTGTACCGAGATGATCACGTTGATAAAAAAAATCAAGTCTAAGACATTTGACTAAACCCTGTCAGGAACCAAATGAGCAAATTGAGAGGAAAACAGTCAAAACTTAACGTTACCCATTAAGGCTAGCATACAGCGTCGAAAAACCACCAATATATTTGAGAGCACAGCACCAAACATAGCATTCGCGATCATCAGGGTATATGACAAAGTCTAACGACCACATGAATTATCAAAAAATATATTCGCTGGATTTGACCTGCAACCATCACGGGAAAAAAAGAAAACAAACATAAAATATAACAGACAGACAGTCGTTGCGCAAAACATAACGTAAGTAGACGCCATGTTGACAACAGTGCGAATATAAGTGATGGAATATATAATAACCTAGAAAACCGGCAACATATCAGTTCCTGCATAAAGAAACACCATAGGATGGTCGATTTATCAGGTAAATGCAGCTGATGAGAAGCCGTAAAATGGAATGAATTCATTTTATTGTGCAAAGCTTGTTGTTCTTGCTCTGTTTAAATGTATCCAGGGGTCTGGTTGTATGACAATTGGTGTTTGCCTAGGCTTTTTGTGATTAACAATTAGGGGTATGTGGGACTCCTAGATCGTGTGTTTTGTGACTTGGCTTAATTTGTAGTTCTATGTAAATCGGCATCTAAGTATGCGATACGCTAGCTAACATAGCCTACATTGGTTGTAGAGATTGGAATACGTGCGAGTGGGGTAGGGTGTAGCTGAGGAATTTCCCAGGGGTCGTTTTGTTTTCAGGGATGCTTGATGCATTGTCTGCAAGCCTACAGGTGGATGTGGCGACTGTGTGCGTAGTGTGTAGTGTCTTGGCCGACCGATGGTGATGGGCTTTTGCGGAATTGCTGAGTTTTTGTGGTAAGTCGATGATAATTGTACTTATGTATTGATTGAAATAGGTTTTCTGTGTACACGGTGGTGATCAGTCGTATTTGTTATCAGAAGGTTTTGGTCAATATTTGTGGATATTGGTGCGGAAATTCCAGGTTAGTTAGTTAGTTAGACGGTAAACTCTATTACTGAGTCAGTTCCTAATATTATTGTTCAGTATTTTCATGTTTATCAGTAGCGGTTATATGATGAGTGTATGACACCTCTTATGAATTGTTGATTTGCCTTTCACACTGATCACTATTTTATGCAGTGTTTTTTTCTGTTAGTTTCAGGTATTCGTGCCGGTTCGTTGGTAAGTGTATACATTTGAACTCTTCCTGATGATGTATTAATTGCGTGTCATATGAATTAAAATTGATCGTACTACTAGCCTGATAAGAGTCCGCTTATATATTTTTTGTTCTGTTCAGAATGCATAGAGTTATTGTTAAAGTATATTGAGTTTTAATTTGTATTATTTCCTATTTCAGTTGCGACAGGTTATTTCGAAATGGTTGTTTTCAGCGTTCGATTGGCGAATGTTGATGGATGTGGTTTTCCATTTGGTGGTTTGTAGACTGGGATGTGTCCTACGAGTTCATAGTGCCACTCCATTCTGGCTGTCTGTAAAGGGTGTGATAAGAATAGAAATGTAAAAATGTAAAAGGTAATATGTAATACATTTTTACAAGAAACTAAGTCATTTTTGAATTGTCTTTACTGACTGTGGGGTTAGTTAAAGGGGTTCGTGTCTTCAGACACTCGCATAAATTTGTGAATAAATAGATGTGAATTCAGTTAGTACTGATTTGAACGTAGTGTTTGTTCGAAGTGTTGGGGAATTTAGACGAGAAAGACACATGGATGAGTTTGTGGTCGAGATGTATGACTGAGGAGATAGAGAGACTCAGTGAATTTGGTATGGTTCCTGTCAGGTGTTTGAAATGTTGTTACGTGTACAATATCGACAGTTTTAGTGTAGATTGGTTGGGGTACTAGGCATAGGTTTTTGCTTTACGTGATCAAGATGTGTATTATTGCGTTTTCTCTTATGTGATTTGATTTGCTGTATTGGACTTGTGGGGGTATGGATATCTGTTAAGTTTAACTGCTGCTAAAATGCTTATAGTTGGATACTAGCTGACGAACATCTGTCACTTGGTGGAAGTCTCCTGGGAATTATGCAATCTGCTTAGGAAGGTGATAACGTAAGTGGATGTTTTGTTGAAACGAACGATAGTTGGAGTGTTTGATTCTGTAATAACCCAGAGACTCGTCGATAGATCTGTTCTTGGATAGAGAAACACCTTAGATTGTGCAATGTATGAGTTTGTGTATTTAGCGTTCCATCAGAGCATGAAGAACAAGGTTTGCAGAGTAGAATGAATTGATTCTATTCAACGGCTTTTCATCAGATGCATACAAACTAGAATTACAATTCTCAATGTAATTATTAACAATTGTTTAGCATATTTTAGTCTGTGAAGTTCAGATAAATGTTCAAAGCATAACCGAAATCATAATAGTACGAAGAATAGGTATAGAAAATACCAAGTATTTGTTATACCATTCCAAGGTAGATCAATACCCTTCGGACGTCACCTGAAATCGCATCTATGAATTTATATGTGCTTGTGGTAGCAAGCATACAAGAAGGATAGATAGAAGGGCATGTACTAGGTTTCTGAACACATTCCTAGGATCGTACGACTGAAATGGAGTAAAGTGTTTACAAGTGCTATTGCCAGACACCTTTTCAACAGTGGACACGAGGTGAATGTAAGTAATGCATTCAAAATAATTAACAGACAACAAACACCAAGGTTATCGCGTTTGGCAGAGGTGATCGCCATCAAACGTTTCCGACCTGACCTGTGTATACAGAAGGGAAGTGTGATTAGCCTTCATTTGACATGATGATCGGATGTTTATCTAATAGCGCTTATTAGTTTTGATTTTTAATTTTTCTCTTCAACCCTGTCTTCAACTTCCTTAGCTTTATTATTCTTGTTGGTGTCCACATGTTTGTTTTCTTTTATCATGTTGAGTGATTACGCGACCACTTATTAATTTCATTACCTTTACATAACCTCTTTTACCTTGGTTATGATTACTTGTAATTATAATGCCTATCTTACTCTTAATTATTACTTCCCAACATGTAAATACACATCGATCTTAAGTATATTTATTCATAGATTTTGTATCCCTATTCTTCTTACTATTGTGATTTCGGTTACGTTCCGAATATTCGTCTAAACTTCACAAATTAAAGTATGCTAAACAATTGTTAATAATTACATTGAGAATTGTGATTTTAGTTTGTATGCAGCTGATGAGAAGCCGTAAAATGGAATGAATTCATTTTATTGTGCAAAGCTTGTTGTTCTTGCTCTGTTTAAATGTATCCAGGGGTCTGGTTGTATGACAATTGGTGTTTGCCTAGGCTTTTTGTGATTAACAATTAGGGGTATGTGGGACTCCTAGATCGTGTGTTTTGTGACTTGGCTTAATTTGTAGTTCTATGTAAATCGGCATCTAAGTATGCGATACGCTAGCTAACATAGCCTACATTGGTTGTAGAGATTGGAATACGTGCGAGTGGGGTAGGGTGTAGCTGAGGAATTTCCCAGGGGTCGTTTTGTTTTCAGGGATGCTTGATGCATTGTCTGCAAGCCTACAGGTGGATGTGGCGACTGTGTGCGTAGTGTGTAGTGTCTTGGCCGACCGATGGTGATGGGCTTTTGCGGAATTGCTGAGTTTTTGTGGTAAGTCGATGATAATTGTACTTATGTATTGATTGAAATAGGTTTTCTGTGTACACGGTGGTGATCAGTCGTATTTGTTATCAGAAGGTTTTGGTCAATATTTGTGGATATTGGTGCGGAAATTCCAGGTTAGTTAGTTAGTTAGACGGTAAACTCTATTACTGAGTCAGTTCCTAATATTATTGTTCAGTATTTTCATGTTTATCAGTAGCGGTTATATGATGAGTGTATGACACCTCTTATGAATTGTTGATTTGCCTTTCACACTGATCACTATTTTATGCAGTGTTTTTTTCTGTTAGTTTCAGGTATTCGTGCCGGTTCGTTGGTAAGTGTATACATTTGAACTCTTCCTGATGATGTATTAATTGCGTGTCATATGAATTAAAATTGATCGTACTACTAGCCTGATAAGAGTCCGCTTATATATTTTTTGTTCTGTTCAGAATGCATAGAGTTATTGTTAAAGTATATTGAGTTTTAATTTGTATTATTTCCTATTTCAGTTGCGACAGGTTATTTCGAAATGGTTGTTTTCAGCGTTCGATTGGCGAATGTTGATGGATGTGGTTTTCCATTTGGTGGTTTGTAGACTGGGATGTGTCCTACGAGTTCATAGTGCCACTCCATTCTGGCTGTCTGTAAAGGGTGTGATAAGAATAGAAATGTAAAAATGTAAAAGGTAATATGTAATACATTTTTACAAGAAACTAAGTCATTTTTGAATTGTCTTTACTGACTGTGGGGTTAGTTAAAGGGGTTCGTGTCTTCAGACACTCGCATAAATTTGTGAATAAATAGATGTGAATTCAGTTAGTACTGATTTGAACGTAGTGTTTGTTCGAAGTGTTGGGGAATTTAGACGAGAAAGACACATGGATGAGTTTGTGGTCGAGATGTATGACTGAGGAGATAGAGAGACTCAGTGAATTTGGTATGGTTCCTGTCAGGTGTTTGAAATGTTGTTACGTGTACAATATCGACAGTTTTAGTGTAGATTGGTTGGGGTACTAGGCATAGGTTTTTGCTTTACGTGATCAAGATGTGTATTATTGCGTTTTCTCTTATGTGATTTGATTTGCTGTATTGGACTTGTGGGGGTATGGATATCTGTTAAGTTTAACTGCTGCTAAAATGCTTATAGTTGGATACTAGCTGACGAACATCTGTCACTTGGTGGAAGTCTCCTGGGAATTATGCAATCTGCTTAGGAAGGTGATAACGTAAGTGGATGTTTTGTTGAAACGAACGATAGTTGGAGTGTTTGATTCTGTAATAACCCAGAGACTCGTCGATAGATCTGTTCTTGGATAGAGAAACACCTTAGATTGTGCAATGTATGAGTTTGTGTATTTAGCGTTCCATCAGAGCATGAAGAACAAGGTTTGCAGAGTAGAATGAATTGATTCTATTCAACGGCTTTTCATCAGATGCATACAAACTAGAATTACAATTCTCAATGTAATTATTAACAATTGTTTAGCATATTTTAGTCTGTGAAGTTCAGATAAATGTTCAAAGCATAACCGAAATCATAATAGTACAAAGAATAGGTATAGAAAATACCAAGTATTTGTTATACCATTCCAAGGTAGATCAATACCCTTCGGACGTCACCTGAAATCGCATCTATGAATTTATATGTGCTTGTGGTAGCAAGCATACAAGAAGGATAGATAGAAGGGCATGTACTAGGTTTCTGAACACATTCCTAGGATCGTACGACTGAAATGGAGTAAAGTGTTTACAAGTGCTATTGCCAGACACCTTTTCAACAGTGGACACGAGGTGAATGTAAGTAATGCATTCAAAATAATTAACAGACAACAAACACCAAGGTTATCGCGTTTGGCAGAGGTGATCGCCATCAAACGTTTCCGACCTGACCTTCATTTGACATGATGATCGGATGTTTATCTAATAGCGCTTATTAGTTTTGATTTTTAATTTTTCTCTTCAACCCTGTCTTCAACTTCCTTAGCTTTATTATTCTTGTTGGTGTCCACATGTTTGTTTTCTTTTATCATGTTGAGTGATTACGCGACCACTTATTAATTTCATTACCTTTACATAACCTCTTTTACCTTGGTTATGATTACTTGTAATTATAATGCCTATCTTACTCTTAATTATTACTTCCCAACATGTAAATACACATCGATCTTAAGTATATTTATTCATAGATTTTGTATCCCTATTCTTCTTACTATTGTGATTTCGGTTACGTTCCGAATATTCGTCTAAACTTCACAAATTAAAGTATGCTAAACAATTGTTAATAATTACATTGAGAATTGTGATTTTAGTTTGTATGCAGCTGATGAGAAGCCGTAAAATGGAATGAATTCATTTTATTGTGCAAAGCTTGTTGTTCTTGCTCTGTTTAAATGTATCCAGGGGTCTGGTTGTATGACAATTGGTGTTTGCCTAGGCTTTTTGTGATTAACAATTAGGGGTATGTGGGACTCCTAGATCGTGTGTTTTGTGACTTGGCTTAATTTGTAGTTCTATGTAAATCGGCATCTAAGTATGCGATACGCTAGCTAACATAGCCTACATTGGTTGTAGAGATTGGAATACGTGCGAGTGGGGTGGGGTGTAGCTGAGGAATTTCCCAGGGGTCGTTTTGTTTTCAGGGATGCTTGATGCATTGTCTGCAAGCCTACAGGTGGATGTGGCGACTGTGTGCGTAGTGTGTAGTGTCTTGGCCGACCGATGGTGATGGGCTTTTGCGGAATTGCTGAGTTTTTGTGGTAAGTCGATGATAATTGTACTTATGTATTGATTGAAATAGGTTTTCTGTGTACAC